GTTAATTGTTGTATTATTTTTTGTTATTTGATGTGTGTTGTTCCTGAACTTGTAGGTAGAGAAATAATAAATGCAGTCTGCTTCTTTCTGCAGTTCATCGCCTTTGTCTGTTATTTCAGTCTACTTTAAAATAGCAGCACTTACAGCTTCAGGATGTGAGGTAGACTCTCGGACCGTGGGAAAAGATCCACTCTTGAGCTTCAGTCTGGAAGCAAATCCTGCGTTGTACTGACCCTCGTTGAGAAAGCACCCTGACGTGAAATGATTAGCACATACATGCAACGTTTTAGGGATTTCTTTAGGAACATTACCACCATAAATATATGATATCCACTGTGTCTTTGCTGGCTCGGAGGATGGAAGTAGGTAGAGACTTTTGTGCTCGTTTATACAGTCAACAACCGAGCAGAATCCGTGCTTTCCTCTGAACTGTGCCATGTTACTGTTCGCTTGCTGTTCTAGGGAGAAAATCGCAATGGCAGCACCAAAACAGATCTGAGGAGGAGCAGCTATGCAAATAGACTGCGGCGTCATTCCGTATGATGCCATAGAGAGGGGACAAATCCCAACAGCCTGTTTGAGCCGGGGGGTTTACAAATGCGCAAAAAGCTAAATAGGCAGGGACTAGTCTTTTCTCATGTTTTCTTTCTACACACATGCCATATTTGTGTCTTGTAAATATGTTTGAATTGACTTTTTTTTTAAGTGAAAGTGTTTGCCTTGTGATGCGAGATACATTTCTGACTGCTAATTTAATCTAGTAAAATAGAGCCTTTTCCAATGCTGCACTTAGTGTAGTTGGTTGAATAAATATATATTATATAGGACTGTATATTCCAGCCGCCCCTCACTCACCCTCCCACCTGTCCACCTGTCCTAGTGGCTGTGCACTTTGGAGGGGGGGGGAATAGAAGAGTGTGGTAAACACTAGCATGTTTATAGGAAGGACACAGGTAAGATCTGCTGTTATGCTTCGGTCTGCATTTAGCTTGCAGATCGCTCAGTGTGAAATTGAGCAGGTAGTACTGAATGCTACATTGCTCATAGCATCTTTTTAATGAGATCTTATGAATTCTGTAAAAGTAAGAGCATGGAGAAGCATAGATTAAATTGCAATGGGGACTTAGTGATACTTGAAGTTGAGATGAGATATAATTGTGGGTTTAACAATTTTAACACAGTGGTTCTTGAAAGCAGGGATGAAGATTATATTGTGTTTTGTGTGTCTTATGCTGGCTTTTATAATGGGTTGAAGATAACAGAATAAATGTTGCATCAGATACCACAAATCTCTGCTTAGGAAGTGTAATATGATATTGTAATGTGCAATGCCCAAATGCATGTTTACACAGTGATGTGTGCATTGCCAAACAACATTATCTTAGAATGAATTGGAAACAGCCGGTGTCCTGTCACAAGGAATAATCCGGCATTGTTATCACAGGGACGCTTCGGATATTCATTGCAATCTAATCACCCAAGAAGCAGTGAAAATGTCATAACAATGGGCAATGAATTAATTTCTGACACCCAGATACCAAAGAAATGTGTTAACAAGCATGTCAAATCAATTGGTCTCATGCAAAGCTGCTGCTACTACATATACTAAATGGATTATATTTTCCTACAGGGCTGAGATTGACTGTATCACTCTAATCCCACATTCCCATTGTCCTGTCACAGATGCCACTTGGACATTTGTTTTCTACAGCACATAACATAGAGTAGTCACTTGTTGTAAATGTGCTTTGATGATGTTTGACAGCAATTACAGTAGTGCTACAGCAGAGTAGATGTGATGTAGCCTGCTTCAGCTGCTGTTGCAGAACTAAAGTATGCTAATGAGAGTGTCACATTTATGTAGTACATGAGTCTGGGTCCCAGCAGGATTCGACAGCTACTCTTTACATTAAGACAAGTTCTGGACAACAACAATATTTAGGAAAAAGTTACATACTGTAGCTTTAAGTAACTTCAAAAAAGGATTCAACTGTGTTTCCTCCAGTGGTGGTAAGTAAACATTTACTCACTTACATGTACTTGTACATTAGCATTTTCACTTTATGCTACTTTATATTTCTACTCCATTACAATAAGAAACCAGACACCTGTACTTCACTATATTTATTTGATAACTTTAAGTACTTAATAGATTCAATCTATAATACAACCAACAAATAAATGGTGTATTATTCCATGCCAAGAGAAAGTTGCAGCAGCATGTAAGGAATTAAAAATGAGCTCCACTCTACCAGCTGCAACATGTGAATGGTTCAAGAATTATGAACCATAAATATAATCTACCGTCCATGCTGTGAAATAGGCCATTCTGCAAAATGAGTACTTTTACTTTTGGCACTATGTGTTTTGTGTTTTACACTACTTAAGCTGCTTGAATGCAGAACTGAGTGTATTTCTACACTGTTGTACTGCTTTTTATGCTTATGAAAAGATCTGAGTACTTCGGTCACACTCATCCACTTTACAGCAGATCTGAGATCAGTTTCAGATGTAAAAACAAAATCGAGACCAGACAATTACTTCACCACAGCAGCGAGTGGCAGAGTTGAGCTTTGGGCTCTGTGCCATTTCTTTATGGAGCTGACAGCGACAAACAGAGGCTGTTTACACACTGTTGTCTAAAATACTGTATGCTGTAGCATTAACATTTCTATGAACTGGAATTGGGGTGTCCACATAGTGGACTACATTCATTTCAGTTCAGAATATTTTAAACAGAATCATCTCAGCTTCACCACATGAACATGGTTCATATATAAATAGGACCGCTTCAGATGTACATTGGACACATGAACAACTTTTCATGTTTGGAAACTAGAAACTAAAGTTTGTTGAACCTCAACAATGATTAGCTGTTCAAACAAGCAGTTATTGATCAATGTCTTCTTTGTATTATTAGGTCTTCATGGCTCCACATAAAGTCAGACCAATAAAAAAACTGAGCAATAATTTCAAAGTATGGATGAAAATGAAAAGGCAAAACAAACTGGAGCCTAGGAAATGGGAAGCAGCGAGAAGTAAAACCCAGCTAAACACAGCATCACAACAATGAGAAGCAGGAGGACAGGTGCAGTTTAATAGGTTATAAATATAACCGTCCTCTTTATCTCCAACTGCTCTGTTCCACTGCCACACAGACTTTCACTGGTGATATCTTCACTGGGATGTCATCCCCGGTGACAATATACGGAAACATTCTGTCAGTGAAAGTGTGTGTGACAGTGTGTATGTGCGTGTTAGTGTCAGGATCCGAGAACGACAGCTTTCCTCCGCTCCAGTCCAGATTCACTCTGATCCTCTGGGGCTTCTTCTTCATTAAGAGAACAGTAGGTAGATTTGATGGAGAGAGTGCTTCGTATCGACCTGGATAGAACCATATTCTCCATAATCCAGACCGTATGCGTCCCTTCCTCTGGACAGACTCGGCTAACACACCCAGTTCCCAGTGTTTACTGCCTCCAACCTCAACATCCCAGCTGTGAATCCCTGAGTTAAAGCCCTCAGAGCCCAAGACAGAAGAACAGACATAATCAAACCTCTCTGGATTGTCAGGAAGCTGCTGTTTGTCTCCTTTTCTCACACTGGTCAGATCTTCAGACAGGATGAGTCGTGGACCAGCAGTGTTTGGATCCAGGACCACAGGAGTGTAGGAGACCATGTCTTTCATCTTGTTCCAGATGTTGAAGGCCAGGTTGCCCAGGTGTTTGGCCTGGTCTATCAGAGCTCCTGAGTGCAGCTGTGGATCCTCCAGCAGGGGTTGGTGCCGGACTCTTTCCACTCCAGCCTTGTAGCTGTGCAGGAATGAGATGTCTTCAGCTCTCAGCTGCTCCTCTGTGGCTCTGACTGTGTTTGACAGAGCTGCTATCTCTCTGCTCAGAGCCCCCATTTTCTTTTTCATCATCTGACTCTTCTGCTCCTCTTCCTCCCTCAGTGCAGCCACCCTGGCCTCCTCTTCCTCTTCTAGAAACCGGTGAAGTTTCTGAAACTGCTCCTTAATCTGTCTCTCTGTGTGTCGGGCCTGGACCTTAATGTGTTCTGCTGCTTGATTAAAGTCTACTTTAACTTTTTCTAAATCTTTTAACTTTGCCTTTAAAGGCTCCAGAGTTTCCTCCAGTTCCTTCTTGTGTCGTCGTGCAGCTTCATCGATGGGTCTGAACCTGTGCTCGCTGTGGTTTTCTGAGTCTCTGCAGACGAGACACACTGGCTGCTGATGGTCCAGACAAAAGAGTCTGAGTTTCTCAGAGTGCAGACTGCAGAGAGTCTCTGAAGCTCTCTGGAGTCTCTCCTGTAAGAAGGACTCACACAGGTTCTTTAACACCAGGTTACAGGGTGGTTCACCCTTTGAAGATCTTCTGTTACAACCTGGACACTCACGTGTTTGGTTCTGTCTCCACCAGCTCTGCAGACAGTCTTTACAGAAGCTGTGGCTGCATGACAGGATGACGGGATCTTTAAAGATGTCCTGACAGACAGGACAGCAGAGATCCTCCTCTGCTCTAGAAGCCATTTAGTCTCTGAGTGCAGCTGAAATCACAGCAGATACAAAGTACAGTCAGGCATGGCTTCCCTCCCCCCACTACTCCACTAACTTTACTGAAATGTACTTTCACTTTGTGTTGTTGTCAGACTCACATTCAGTGTGTGTCCGCAGGTTGAAGCAGCAGTGTTGGAGTTCCCACTTTTCTTTTCTGTAGCTGAACTCACTCAGAGGAAGCTGTTAGTTTGGTCTGAAGGTGAATTGGATCATCTGCTTTTCACTCTGTCTCTGTAGTGATGAAGACGAACAAACTGTTTCCTGCTTTGTCAGGTGAGTCAGGTCAGGGTGGGGCTTGAAATACTGACCTATAATGTAGAGCAGGAGGTTGCAACAACTATGTGAATTCAAATGCAACATTAGGTTGAATGCAAAGTGCCTGGATTTTAGAAAAGAGTGACCATGGAAAATTCAGGGCAGCTGCTGAGTAGCAGCTGCAGAGTTACTATAGTTTTTCTAAACAAGCTGCTCCACCACATTAATAGTCATACGTGTACACATGTATGCACTTCAGTGTAGCTCTTCCACCTTCCATCTGTGTTTATGAAGCTCAGCATGTTTCAGTGTTTGGTGAAATTGTCATAAGTATAAATTCAATTATATTTTCATTATTGAGGTCATAGTTAAATGTGTTGGACTGGACTACACCATATTCAGAGGTGTTCCTAATATTCTGACCATCTCATGTAGGCAGCCGGGGAGGACAAAACTATAGAGACACCTCTAAATATAATGTAGTCCAGTACAACACCACTCTTCCAGGTTTCACAGAAAAAAACAAGCATAACAAGCTGAATTTGTTATTACTGACTGATTAAGAAATGAACATTTAAATAAATGTGAAACCAACATTATAACAGTGTCAATTAGCTCCAGATGTGTTACAGCTGATTACAAAGCTGAGAAATGCCTTGTAAAGTGATGTAGTGTGCAGTGAACAGACAGAGGCTTTACTCTACACGATGACAGTGGAATATTCCACAGAAATACGACGTTTTCACGACTACAGTTGGTTTTTCAGTCATATGGCATTCGTGTGGATGGCAAAGTAAGAATTTCATTGTACAGGGAAACATGTTTCCTAACTGTGTATATGACAAATATACACTTTGACCTTTGACCTTGACGTGACTAGCAAATAATCCAACATGGCAGCCAACACTGAAAACAGCACTGCGGCATAGCCCTGTAAACTTTCTATTTCCTCCAAGCAGTTATATTTAGACCACAATGACATGAGAACAAACTTCAAGTTTTAGGCATTTAGGATCCCTGTGTCAAGAGGCCGCCGCAGTATTTGTGTCTTGTATTGTACCCAGATGTTTCCCCTTATATCTTATTCAAACTAAGGCTGAGCAGCCTAGACTCAGTGTGGTAGTGTGACCCCTTTATCCCTAAAGAGTTGTAATTATTTTGATTTGAAGCCTGCCCTTACAGTTTTATATCACTGTCTACTTGCTCTATCTGCAGGTGGGCATGGCCTTCCTCGGAGGGCTGTGCGTGGCGCTGCTGCTGGTGCCCCTCAACAAGTTCCTCGCTTCCCGGATCCTTAACAACAACAAACACATGCTCAGGTACAAGGACAGCCGTGTTAAGGTAAGACCCGATTCAGCTGTTTCTCTGTGCAAATGTTAGGAGGATTTTGTTCACTGCTAAGATTCCACAAGTGACACTGTTTAGAAACCACAGCTCAGCTGTGATCAGCTAAAACCGGCGCTTTAAAGCCTCTCATTGACTGTTTCCATTGGGAGCAGTTCGAGGTTCAAATACAATAACATATTATCACCAGGCTGATTCTACTGGCTGATTTTGACTTGTCACAGATGAATAGGTAAAGTCATATTCACACATACAGTACAGTGCAAATGTGTTAGGCACTAAAAGTAAAGTTATGATGCATTTAAAAATAATGAATCGTTTTGATAGATAAGGATTTTAAACATCTAAAATACCAAAAACCTTTGCATAGTGGTGTGGTTGTGATATAGCAACATAAATTGCAGTGTGTTCATGTTGTAAATGTACGTACATCTTCAGTGCAAGAGTCTGCTCATATTTGCTCCTCGGGCCCAAAGCTGTGCCACTGAGACTCAAGTGAGTCTCTTTAATTTGTGGCTTTTCTCTTCCAGTTAATGACAAAGGTGCTCTTTGGCATCCAGGCCATCCCGTTCTACAACTGGTTTAGTGGCTCAAGTGAAACAAGGTTCCAGAGGTAACAGTATGTACTTCATATATAGATATTATTTGTAATAGTTATGTAAGGCTGAGCTAAGTGTTTATGGAAGCTTGATCTGTTTCTTACTCAAGCAAGAATATCTTGGGCTGGGTCCCCCTTGTTTAACCTATGGGTCAACATCCCGAGTGACTTCCTCCTTAGATGGGGAATGGATAGCTGCAGCCTTATGTGCTCTGTTCAGGTTTAGAAAAAGGAAATGTGCGCTAGGTCAATGCAACCTAGACGTTCATGTACTGGACATTTTTAGACAATGCTCGGAAGAAGGTGTGTGTGGGTAGCTGGCATGAGACTGCGTCTCATGCTCAGGCCATGGAAGGCTGTGTAAGTGCGAGCAGATAAAAGGCTAGGATAGCTGGGTTGCAGAAGAAGAAGAGAGGATGAGAATGCTACCGTGAAAAGAGTACCATAGACCCGGCCCCAGAGGGCTGGGGAGACTGACAACTGACTGTGGGTTGACAGAAAGACTGACTCGTGACCAACAACAACTGACTGGACTGACTAACGCTTTTGACAGTCTTCTTATTTAATACTTCATCTATCACAGTGCAGGAGGAGAGTCTCCGTTTTCTGTTTTCCTAACTACAAGATTATCTGTTTAAATACTACTCTATTCAGAATAATTGTAATATTAAATTATCCTTTAAATTGGGATGATTTGTCTGAATTAATTTAGTCTGCATCACACTCTAGCCACGCCACTGGGAGCCTCATTTTACTCAGAAGATCGCAGACTGCTGTGAGCAAGAGCTGTCCTACCTCAAGGCCATCAAATACCTGGATACCAAGTGTGTGTGTACACCTGGGCTGTTCTGCCTGTGGTCATCTCCATCCTCACCTTCATCACTTACATTCTGCTGGGACACCAGCTGACGGCAGCCAAGGTAGGGAAGGTTGTTAATTCCACAGTGTGGAGAGTGAGCTGATGCCAGCAGTGAGTTGTGTGGGAATCTGGACACTTCTGGGTGATGTACTCTGTTTGTGTTTAAAGTCTTGCATCAACTAACGTCTCTAGAAACTAGTTTTTTATGTGGTTTGACGCACTGCGTTTTTGGCTTGGCCCATTCTCATGAACGTGGTTTCTTAGAAACGCCTAGAGAGATTTTTTTTTTTTTTTACAGATTTGCCACAAATGTCCATTTAGACTTGAGAATGAACTGGTTAGTTTTCGTGGTCAAAGGTTAAGGTCAGTGCATCCTCATGTCTGTCCCATTCCTAGTTGGAGGAGCCATACAACTGCAAAGCAGCAATTCAGGTTTTATTTTGACATGGAGCAAAATAGGTTTTGTAACAAAACAGTGCATCCCATCCAGCTTTTTCAGGAAAGTTTAACAGTTGGTAATGGACAGGAATTATTAACTTTTTATAACAACAACAATTTCCTGACAGAAATATACAACACAGGTACCCTTGTACGTCAGGGTTAAGATCCTGCCTATAAATGGCAGTCGCTCCTGGTTTGAGTCTGGCCAGGAGCCGCTGTCTCTCTCTCCTTCGTTTTCAGTTTCTCTCTGTATTCTCTACAAATACTACCAGTAGAAAATCTCCACTGCTTTCTTCAGTTCACATATCTGAAAACAGCGGTAGTACTTTCCTTTGAACAAGAAGAAATCAGCTGTATTGAAATAGCTTAAATGATAAATTATCCTCAGACTTTATAATCTGCACAGCCTAAAACACCCTCCATCAGTAGAGCCCTGATTTGAAAAAGGAAAAACAACCACAAACCACCATTTTGTTGAACAGTGATAGCCACCGGGGATGCAAAGGAAAGATCCTAACACAATCACCAGTTCTCTCTCCACACCCTAATAAAGTCATTTCCAATCGAAGGGTTTATCACAGAAAAGATATTTTGTAAAAAAAAATATCATTCTTTCGTATGAAAACTGGAGAAACAAGAGCTAATATGCAGAATACTGTTAGTGCAGGATGACTCAGTGAAGCTGAGACTCAGTGGCCAAATCTCCTGTCTTACAGGTGTTCACCACGCTGGCTCTGGTGGGAATGTTGAACATCCCACTCAACTGTTCCCCTGGGTTCTCAACGGCATCTTGGAGGCCAAAGTGTCTCTGGAGCAAATCCAGCACTTCTTCAAACTGACCAACCAGGATCTGCAGGCATACTACGCTCTGTATAGGCTGCTGCTTTGAAACAAGTCTTAGCATGTACTTGGTCCCATTTGGAGGGTCTCTGTCCTGGGAAGAGCAGGTTTTCTGTATGTTTAAAACAACCTATGCTTCATGTACAGATCTGAAACTCCACTTTTTGGCATTTTCTGCTCTCTTTGTGTATTTCTTGGCATCATTGTTGGTCTGCCTGACTGAAGCTGCTCCATGAAGCTGCTTTGGTTTTCAAGAGATATCAAGTAATGTTACCTAGAAGTAAAATGAATGACAGGCCTTAGAAAGTCCATAATGTCTAAGAGAATCTTGCTTTCATTGGAAAAATTTAAATAGTTCCAGCTGTTGTTGTTATATCATGTGTGATACCATATTGCTGTTGTGGTGAAACGTGTGCGTGCACAATGTCTCCTGAGGACAGCCAGACGTCGGTCCTGTTAAGCCAGGGGACATTCTCATGGCAGGAGACAGTCATGACAAGAACAAAGATGGAGAAACGGGAAGTGGGCCTGCTAAAGTGGGGGTGACTGTGGTTCAGTGGGTAGAGCAGTCGTCTCCCAACCAAAGGGTTGGAGGTTCAAATCTTGGTGCCTGCAGTCCACATGTTGAAGTGTTCTTGGCCAAGACACTGAACCCCCAAGTTGCTGTTGGTGTGAGTTGGCGCCACAGATGGCTGCCTTGGTTTTGTACCGGAAACAAATTCCTTGTGTGTAACATACTTGGCCAGATAAAGGTGATTATCTTGATTATCAATCCGCACGTAACCAAGGTAAACAAGGCACACCAGCCAAACCTGTGCACGAGAACAGTACCAAGGAAGAAGCAAAGTCCAAACAACTCTGACACAAAACAAACCCACAGAAAGGAATGAATACTCCATTTTAATTCTTCTTTTCTAACATAAAACAAACTATCAATAAAACACAGTAACATTCTCTATCAGATTTTTGAGTTTCTTTCACAGAATACCTTTCCTGAAATTTGATTATGCTGTAGGTGTTTTGAAAGCTTTAAAGTTTACTGGTTTACATAATTAAAGTCAAATAAAATGACTAGCCAACTACGTAAAACGTACTTTATGCTCTGACTTTAGGATTGAATTCAACATTTAACAGCTTTTTTTATTTTGACACCTGAAAATAGTTTGTCCTGCCGTCAGTCAGAGCAGTAACAGTGTCTGTCTGGTTCAGGGCTCGCTGGTTGCTGTGGTGGGGAAGGTCGTCTGTGGGAAGAGCTCCTTGCTGGCTGCTCTCGCGGCAGAACTCAGCAGGTACTGCACATCTGAAACTTTTCTCCAAATGTTCAGATTGTATTCGTTATAAACTTTGTTGATTATGATTGTTTTCACTTGCAGGAGTTACAGTGGGCTGAAATGTTCTGGGACACTTTGGAAACCTGTGTTTCATATTTCAGCAGTGGAAGGGAATTTGATCATTTATTTGGGGAAAGAAGTATCATATGGTTTAACAACAGATTTTACACTTTGTACACAACTGTGTAGAGATGATACCTGTAACAAATCAAGAACACAACTTTCAGGGTTTTAGAGCACAGATAGGAGGATGTTGAGTTTGGAAAGGATGACGTAATCGGGTGTCAGGATGTAGAGAGCTCCACCAGTGTTCTTCATTTTGTTCAGTAAAACTTGGTGTATTTTGACCACCTCTAACAGCAAGCTAGTGTTACAATAACATGGCCTGCCACTGGTCTAAGGGGGTTTCTGATATTCTGCCTACCCCACCATATTTACTGATAAATAAGCATATAGATATTTAGTTTCTATTTTCATTAATAATGTAACTTTTCAAACTCATTCTGAAAGAATGTGCATAAACAGACTATGTGTAGTACATACTGCTGTTATCTATCAAACTACAGTGATTGTACATACCTTGTCGCCAGCTTTCCCATGAATTGTTGGTACTAATCTGTCTTTCAGATCCAGTTTTGTAGCAAGCCCAGCATAGTACTGGCCGAGGTTACTGAAGCGGTTACGGGTGATCTGGTTAGCATGCACAATAAAATGTTTGCACACTTTTCCAGGAGCCTTATGATCAAAAATAAAGTTCAACCATTGAACTGTTGTCTCTCCCCTGGGAGACCAAATGCTGTATATCTATGACAGAGACCCACTGAGGGAGACCTGACTATGTTAATGTTCCTCAGTGTGAATGAGGCCAAATACAAAAGGAGGTATTCTGCCCTCAGGTTTCTGACAAAGCTGGCCTACAAGAAAAACACTGGGTGGTCTGCTGACGCTCTTTGAGGATCACTAGGCACAGGAAAAAAACAAATGTATAAAAAACACATAAAAATGGGTCTTGCTAGAAGTTTTAATGATAGAACAGACATTTAGAAGATAATTTAGAAGAAATATAATTATTTTGCACAATGCAACAAGTACAAAGGTTACACTGAGAATAAATGTAAGAACATATATTTTAAATGTAAATGACAGTGGATCTGTTCATGTAGCCACAGGCCTTCTGGAGTTGTAGACCTTGATCCCATTTTGCATTGAAGATCGGGCGTATTTGGTTAAGAGGGCTCCAGTGGTCTGTTTCTCTCCACACAGGTCTCTGCATGAAGAGAAGAGGAAGGAAACATTACACGATGTAAATAAAACTATCAGGTACAGCAGCTTAAGAAATCATTTGTCATTTCTTTCTGCACGAACAGTCAACAAAATGTGTATATGGTTACTCTCTGGTTATGATAATTTGCTAAACAGATGACACCAACTGTATGTATGGCGTGATGTCCTCTTCTGTCCATTTCTCTCGGAGTCTGAAGAGATGGCTGAAGCGCTCCGACGTATCCTCTGGGAGATCCTCCACACGCAGCAGGCAGATGGACTCTGGATGTGAGGTGCGGTCCACCAGGGCCACGCTCTGGAAGATTTGCAGTGTTGTCAAGAAAGGGGGCAGTTTCTCATGAGGAGTCGGTAGGAATGAGCAGAGAGAAACAACTGCAGCAGGTTGCTTATTTGTTATAAGTACATGATTATTTAAGGTTTGTTTTAGACATCTGCACCAACTCAATCTGCTGGAAACTAAATCCTTAACTGCAGTAAAATGCAAATGGACTTGAAAGAGAAACAACAATGAAGGAGGGAGAGTCAGGTGATTTTATTTAATCAATCTTTGATTACTATAAGCCATAGCACTCTAAGATGTTCTGTAGTGGCTTTGACGGTTTCAAGTTGATCTGAACATTATGACTGTACCTTAGAAAATAATACTTTGCCCAAGTTATCAGGAAAGAAGGCTTCTCAAAAGCACAAACACATGAAAGTGCATCTTTACATTAGAAAGAAAAATCTCACAATGATCTTGGGGCTCATCATTTCTTTTCTTGCTAGCCAAATTGCCATCCTATACTCATGTTATTTATCAAGAATGCACAGACCAGTCGTGCCATTTTCTAACTAGAGTAGAGGCAATTTAGATGCTTTCACAAGATGTCTTTCAGATATGTAGATGGCATCAATTTAGTGTTAACTCAGTATTTTTTCAAAGCCAATAAATTCTTCAAAAATATAATTTTCTTTCTCTTTCACAGATTTGGAACATTATGCTGAAAAGAAAAATTTAGTGAAACTGTATCCAAATCATTTTATCCTCACACTAACTTGAACTATAACTGCAACATGCAGAAAAAAGTAAAACTACACAGTCCTCTGTTACTCTGAATGCAGTCTATAACAAAGGTATAGTCTAACCTTTAGCTGCTCCAGTCTTGTGCTCATGCCCTCTGGCACACTCTGCTGCCACACCTCCTGAAACTCCTTCAGGCTGAACTTGACAGCATTCTGCAGCAGCAGTAGTGCTATGCCCCGACAGACTTTATCCTCACTTAGAGCATAAAACACTTCGTCTGTATGGAGAAAGGATACAGAGATGTTTGCAGACTTTTTAAAAACTGTACAGGTCCACTTAAGGTCTTCATAGCTTTTCTTTACCGTTTTCAGTATAACGTTTCCCGTAGCAGTTCAGGCAGTGCTCAATCATCTCTCTGCATATAAGAAAAAGAAAAGTAATTGGATCTTTGCTGGGCATATAAACTTGGAGTCTGGTAGAATGTGGATATATCAAGTCTTAAAACCTCAGCCAGTCAGTATAAACAGATCATTTGGTTACTTGGTAGCTTATATATGTATTTTGTCTGAGTGCCATTAAAAAAATCAACTCAAGTAAGGACTGTCCATTTGAGCTTCCTGTTGTAGAGCATGAAGATCACACAATAACTTACTTGGGCTCCAGTGGGGCTAACTCTTCCAGACTAGTCTGAAGGGGAACCTTGCTGAATGGCCATGACTCAGAATCCACCAGCTGAGTCACATGACCAAGCAGCTTCATCTCGTAGTCAAAGTCCAGCACACGCAAGTAGCCTGGAGGAAGGAAAGATAAACACCTGGTAAGTTTATTCATTTAAGAGACAGGACAGAAAAACAGAAATTGTATTTTCTCCCATGTACTGCACTAAAAATTAATTTGGACCTACTTGTTGCTGTTTAGTATAGTAATATTAACAATATGTAAATTTATTTTTAACAGATGTCACAGTTTACCATCTATCTGACAGGCATGGATGGTCTCGAGGTGGGTCTTTATCTCCTCTTCACTAGCCTGAATCCTCTCCAATAGATCCTGCATTGTGTACTGGCAACACATTAACACAGAGAAAACCACTCATTCACTCCAACAGTGTGTAAAAGAGGAAGCACTCATAACACTTAAATATTCACAATGTAACATTAACATAAGTTGCTCTCAAGTTAATGGTTGCTGATACTGCAGCGTAGTTACCCTGTTCTCTGTGTTCTCCTCCTGCCCTACTAAAGCAGGTCCTTCATAAGGATTCTCCATTAAAAGCTTCTTTAATTTCTTCAGTTTAGGACGCCATTTCCTCAGTTCCCAGTAGCTGTTGCAAAATCCCCAGACCTACAACAGAAGTAGGATATTGTTTGTGTATGTGAGTCATAAATGCAATCACCTGTTATGTGCATATGTCTGGTTGCGTGGGTGCTACAGTATTTCAGGCAGGTACCTGTGTGAGTATGCATGAACTGTTTCCCTACCTGAGCATGCACCACATGAGAGCCATCCTGGCTGTCTGTCATTTGGTCTGGTGTTTTGCATCCTGGTACAAACAGCAACAGATTGGAGGTGTCTGCTATTTTTAGATCATAGGTTTTATTACCGCTGCACAGCACAGCATGCTCATCCTTATCCCCTCGGATCACCAGACTGGAAAAATGGGGGAAATATAATAAATACTTATCATTCATTAAATACATTTGAAGATTATCACTGTCGCATTGTACTTTGGGGCTATTATGACGCGTATTATTCTTTTTTTGATACTTAATAAATTCAATGATTGCATTTATACGTTAGTCAGTCATGAAACTAATCAGCCCTTATGAACAGAGCCAGAAAATAACAGACCACCAATGTTTCCTTATGGTCAGTATGTCGAACCACATTCAGTAGGCACTTTAACTGACATCATTACGATAATACCTTACCTTTGACCTGCTTCTATGTGTTTGCACAGTGTATCGTCCAGCTCCATCAGGCAATAGTCTGCAGATGACACATCTTCCCCAAAAGACAGACAGTGAATCGTTTTCTGTAGATCCTCTTCTTTCAGTTTGGCGATCTGCAGGGTGGCCTGCACCTCCTCTAAAGTTCTCATTTTGGGTAAGACGGCAGGTTATGTCGGTAATATTTTTATGATTAAATGTCTTTTGATTGGCGCAACAAGCTGTCACGAACTATTTCTTTACTAATGTATAAAAACAAATCCAGTGTTATTTCGTCGCCATACTCTGTGAGTATCAAATTTCCGCGCTCTCCTTTCTGTCGTGGGAAGGAAGTGTAGAAACTACGTTGAGGTGCAACGTCAAAACAGGGCCAAATAGAAAGTATTACTTGGAATAAACTTAAATGTTAGAAATTATTATCCTCGATTATTTATTTAAACGTTGTCTTCGAGATGTATCAGCAAGTAGCAGTCATGAAATAACGGTACGTTTAGCTATTTTGGCTAAAATGGATTAATCTCTATTGTGGAACGGTAAAGTTACAAATCTTGTTTTAACCGAGTAAAATTACTGGACGGACCGGCACTCACGTTGAGGGTCAAATGTTTTGAGGATGTGCTGGTAGTATTATCTATATGTCAAGTTTTTCCAGATCTGCCCAGGTAGTTTGACATATGCATTGCATTATTGTCTTGTATCTCACAATTTGAGTATTATGTGTGTTTAATGTAACGCATGCTATCAGCTAGCGCTGCTAACGAGCTAGCCGTATGTGTGAGTGTGATATGATTGTGTCATTATAAGGGTTTGCTGGTAATTGCCCTCAACGGTTAGAGAAATACAAGAGTCCAAGGTGCAACGTAATGAAATTCTATGTAAGAAACGTTTTGACTGTACACCTAATTAGATTTTTTTCTAGTTAGTTCCTCTAAACCTTTACATAACATCCCGTTTTTTCTCTAGTACTTGAAGCATTGGTTTGGGATATCTTGAGGTTACGCGTTTACAACAGAGTTTTTCTCTGAAGTCAGAAAATATCTCTCTGTGGTTTTATTAACCTCCTGGGCGGCTCCAGTCGTGTTTTGTTTAGATGTTGGGGTTCAGTTCAGGGGTGTATCGAGCTATTTAAAAGTGTGGGGGATGAGGTTTGTCTGGGGTGGGGGTGTCTGAGCAAGACGGAAGCTGAACGCAAATAATGTGTTTTACACACCATTCTTATTTATGATATATAGAGTTTGCACCAAATTCAACCAGGATATTCAATATTCTGCTTGTCATTATCAGTTGTAGTTGATTCAATATTCTGCTTGCTGTCATTATCGGTTGTAGTTGTAGCTTAGTTTTTCTGAATGACACTGTATTATCCACATTTTATGCCCTACACTGATCAACACTGTAAGAGCCATTTATGCCACTCACTCATATTGTTACAATTTACCCACCTCTTTTTTTCAGCACACCTCTGATTTTTAAAGTTGAAGAAATAAATTCTCTGTATTAAGTTATTCTGAAGGAAAAGAAGGTCAGCTCCAAATTGAAACTCTTGTGTAATATGATTTTAAATATTTATATTTAAACAATAAACTGATGAAGTTCAATGCTTAAAGCATTGTTTACAGTTGGTTACAATTGCACAAAAAATGTTGGACATTGCCACCATGGCGTGAAAACCAACTGGCCTGAACATTTAACATAGGATATATGAACATTTGACCCTTCACTCAGTTCAATTAAAAGAACCAAAAGTGCTCTTTCTGTTTTCCTGATTAGCAGTCATTTTTCTGTTCACCCTATCCAGCTTGTCTTTATGTACATGGCACACAGCAACACTGTTGAGGTGGGTTTGAGTCATGGTGCTTGCGTAGCCATGTTTTCAGTCTCCGGAGGCTGAAACTCTTTTCTGACTCTGCTGATGACACAGGCACAACTAGGAGGAGACGAGCAACTGTTTCAACGTGATCAAAGAGACCACAGATCTCTGGGCTCATACCTTGAAGAATAGCAACTATCTAACTTTGTTAACAACGCAATACTAGCTGCTGAGGTGATGAACAGGGTACTTGATGGATATTAAGTATTTATCTGCAGATATTCCATTGTGACAGCGAGTTTGGCTTCACTAATTTACTGTGATGCAGTGTTCTTCACATTTACTGCTTCACCTTCAGACTGCTCCATAACGTTTGGTTCTCTACACTGTCTCCTTAGCTGTCTCCAGTCGTCCTCAATGCTAGCATACCGATTTGTGTTTGCCTCTTCACCCGCTAACTGGTAGATTTGCTGCAATTGCCTGTAAGATCTGTCACTCAAACTAACTTGACCTATGTGTTTGCGTGTGTGGGTTCGTTCATATGCTTTCGCTGACGTCATTTTGCTAATTAGCTATTTAGTTTCGTTATGTCTCGCCAAAAAGTGTGGGGGATGAAATGTGTTTTTAGAACAAGTGTGGGTGTTATGTCCCCCACATCCCCCATGGCTGCAACGCGCCTGGTTCAGTTTCATATTTGTGGTGTCAGCATTATGGATAGTTCATTTTATTACAGGAAGAGTATAACAACACTGACACATTAGAAATTAATTCAGTCTTTTTGTCAATGGGAAGTATTTTGTCTTGGCACACAAAGACGATGTCAAGCGCTGCCCAGTGTCCAACACCAAGTCTAATGCTGTAGATGTTTCCACGGTAGACATTTTGACTTGTAGTAGTAGGAAGAGCACAGGCTGCAAATAACATTAACAAAGCAGCTAATTGGAATTCAGAAATAATTTATTATTTACACCTGAGTTTTTCATACATGTTGAAATGTCTTCTGTGAAGAAGGGCAGCTACTACAGGAAATGCAGAAAAATTATTTGCCATACCAGTGATGATCCCATGCCGCTCAGTTTATTCAACCTGTTTCTTTTTTCCCTTCTCGTTTCAGCAATGGGCGACCTTCGCCCGGTCCTGGTTCCTAATTGATGCTAGAATGCAACCTCCTGGGAAGATTGCAGTCATGTGTTCTGTTCGATTACAGGGGAAACACAAACCTATTTATCATTCATTGAGTGAGTAGTGAGTCCAGTATATCAGAGGACACACACACAGAAACTCAGAAGTAGCTTTCTAACTTGAACATAACCCACTAACTCTTAAAATAATGGTCACATGATGGCAGCAGATGTTCAATTTAGAAATACACTCCTCAGTCATTCAACACTTAATCTGCATTGAGAGATGGGGGGGGGTTGATAGTCTACAACACAAAAATACACTGAAACAGTAGAATTTTCTTTATATTAAATGGACTGTATATGCCACATCAGGCTTTCATAGCAAAAAAGCAGTTGTATGTGTAGATAAACTGGCCTATGCATGTAACAGTCCATGTGCGCTCCGCTGGTCACAATCAATTTCTGGCAGACATTCACTTTTTCGCACAACACGGCCATGTCACTTTAACATAGCATAGTTATATGAATCTTTTCAATCATCTGAATAGAAAGCACCCAAAGGGGCATGCTCCACATTTGTTCACTTAGGTTGGCACAAGTCAGTACCAAATACACCATAACAGCATCCACTAATAAACAGGTTGTAAATCCAACATAGGTGTCATTGAGTGATTCCTTTTCAGGATGTGTTGACATGACTATATTATGACTTAGCTTTAAAGCCCAGTCACGCCTTGCTGCCAGTGTTGGAGCAGTGATTCCAGGATGTTACTGATTGGCTGGGATGTCATTAAAGTCTTAGTTTAAAGAAGAATAGGCTACATTCATATTTTTTATCTGTGCCATTATATGGTGGTCATCGTTTGCTGTTAATAATGTCTTTATTTTAATTCAATAATCTCAGTATTACTCAATCCTTGTGTGTTTTTCGGTAACTGTAATGTACATTTCTTTTTATCGTGTAAATAAATACAGTGGGTATTTTGAGTCTGGCTGTACTCTGAAGTTTTCAAAATTAGGAAGAAAGATTGCAATTTAGATTGAGGATTGTTATTGTGAGTAAAAAGATTGTGCTATGATTTAGCCAGGTCACCCACCCCTAAATGAGAATGAAGATAACCTCAGAAGGTCTGGTCTTGTTGCAGGTGACTGTGGTGACCATGTGGTAGTCATAAACACCAGACACATAGCTTTCTCTGGAAACAAATGGGAGCAGAAGGTCTATTCATCTCACACTGGGTAAGTGCATAGTACTAGCTGCTCCTAGGGTTTAGTTTCTATAACTGATGTGTAGTGGGATTCAGTAACTTGTTTTCCATGGTGTATACATGATTTTACTTTTATATGTATTAAACAATTGTTACAGGGACATTAAAACTCTGTGGCTTCATCTAGTCTAATACATCTTGGTTAAAGTCCAAAGTACTCATTGCAGTTTGTCATGCACAGGAAGGAACTGACTTAGATTGTGTTGTTTTTTTTACCCAAAGGTATCCAGGTGGATTCAAGCAAGTCACAGCTGCCATGCTCCACCAAAAAGATCCAAAAGCTGTAAGGTGTTGTCAGTGTTTTTTCTTACTATTGATACAAGAATATCCTAGACTCTCAGAAATGCCACTGCAGTCATACCTTAACCATTCTGGTGTACTGTCAAGCCACTTTCTTATAATGTCTTTGTCTGCCACACACAGAGAAGGTGCTTCGTGGTTTGAAATAAATCCTTTACTTCATATGTGCTGCTTGGGTATATTAATGTGAAGTGCAGACAGCAGTGGACTTATACAGGTGATGGGGGTGTTTGGTGAGAATGTCAGCTCAGGGATAATTCCTGGGGTTTTGGTTCTGTCACTTATTCAGTGTTTCAGTGTTAATGCATACAGGAAGAGTATGTATTTTGGGTGTCTCGACCAATTTAATCGGCAGCTTGATACTGTGGCTCCACCTTTGGTCACTACTGTGCAGAATCTGGCGCAGAATGAGTCACAAAGACAAAACGGACGCCCTCGTATTTATGATATTTTGGCCTCACTTTTGCATAGTGGCAAGTAATGGTGATCCCTTGTTCATTTAATTTATTATTTTTATGCACACATTGCTAATTACATTCAAACCTGATGTGACAGTCCCATGACAGTTGACTCCCGTGTTACAAAATATCAAGGTTTTGACAAAACTGAAACAAGTCATGAGCTGAAAGGTTAAGTGTGGCAATAGTCTGTATTGTTCTGGTCAGCAAGGCTCATGAAAAGACCAAAAACAACAATGAATTTACATGTCCTGTTTATCCAAAGCTTCATACAGTAACTTTCCTTGCATGTTATATTTCTAGCATAATGCTTAAAATATATTTAACTGCTATCATATGTGTTTATTGCTACATCAGGTTAGTGTGTATTGCATCATTTTAACTGACTGACCTTTTCACGATGCACATTGTAAAGCATGCATGAATCATGGTCAGACTAATCAGAGGAGCATGGGTTGTTTAATACTGAGCTCTGTGAGGTCGGGACTGATTTCATACTACATGTTAACAACAGGGCTGTTCAGGATCATGTAGTGTCAACCACAACCACAGAAGGAGAGAATTTGCAAACCTTTCTTCATGTGGCTTATGTAGGCTAATAGAAATCCTGTAAAACTGCTCGTCATGTGAGAACCACTAAAAGCGGATGAATGAGCTGTTCTGCTTCCCCGTGTGTAGTTTATAAAAGCAGGACAAACATCTGCTCTGCTGTTGGCTCTCTGCCACTGCAGGTTTTTGTCCAGCCGGTGACCACAGACACGTGTCCTGATGGTGGTTTAGTTAACATGAGGTTTGGGGGTTTGGAAAATGAGGCAGGAATGGAACTGGACAGATGAATGATTTGTCAGCACTGCCTCTGTCCAGCATCTCAGTCCAGTAACTCTGTCCAAGTTCAGTCTGTGGAACCAGCCTCACTTTGAGAAACAGTCAGTTTTTGAAAGCAAATGTAAGAAAACTACAGAAGCAAGTATGTAAGGTTGCTATAGATGGTGAGCTTATTGTATGTCAACAATTCAGATGTACTTCTTCTCACCAGATTGTGAAGTTAGCGGTGTACGGCATGCTGCCTAAGAATCTGGCCCGACGCACCATGATGCAGCGACTACACCTGTTTCCTGATGACGTAAGTCCCATTTCTTCTTAACTCTCAGAGATGACACATGTAAAGGCCTCTACCACTGCATCTTAACCATCCAGGATTATTAAGGAGAATCAACAACAGGGCAGTGTGTGAGCAGGTTTCGAATTGAAGCATTTTGCTGGAAAAGAAAAGAGCTAGTTTATTACCCCTCACCCAGGTCAGGTTTTTCTTAATGCTGCTTCACCTCAACCAGTTAATGTAAAATGAATAAATATAGTTTGGCATGATTGTTGCAGTTGTCATAAATAATATGCATTTTTAAATGTGGACAATGAGATCAGTCCAGTGTTTTGCACTGGTTGTCAGGCTGTCTCAGGCCCTTTACTCTGTCTTCTATAAATTAAAGCTGAACTCATCAGTATTGTTATGTTCACAGTGGGCCATGTGACTGTCTAATGTGAAAGGTTTCATCCAAAGGCAGTGATGAAGCCATGGCTCGGTGATGCATTTTAGCATTTTTCACCTCATTATTTTGGTTTTGCAGCCCACACCTTCATTGATTTGGTTCGTTTCCAGCTCTGGTATGAGCCCAGCAGAAGCACACTTTTGTTTAGTGAAGAGCTGTTTGTGCTCATCTACAAACAACAGACGCACTTTATAGCAACTCGAGAGTCAGACCAATAAAGAGAGTGCCAAGCTAAAAAAGTGAACGTTGGACTTAACATTTGCCTGCTGGTCAGAAAAACAAATGAATACAAATGTATTGGCTGGAGGTGTACCTACACAACTCGGTGTTGTAGTGAATTGTGGTCGCTGCAGTTCACAGACAACACTTTGGGCACTTTGATAGTGTAACATTTGTATTGTTGTGAACACCCCCAGCATCACATATCTCAGCTTTTGAAATGAACTGGGGAAAAATACCCTTTTCTTGACAGGCTGTTATTTGACCCAGGCAGCCTGCAATTTTCACCTAAACCCATTTTATGCATATACACCCATGAACCATCATTAGTTTGGTGTATTTGTGACAAGAGAATAATAAAAACGGATCTTTGAGTTTTTACATGGGCTTGTTTTGGTGTCAGAATTAAGAAGTGGGGGAAGTGGGATATCGGGCTTTTATTTTGGTCCAGTCTCGATGTCCAAATTGATGTTGTGCAGTGTGCACTCCCCGTTACCTGCAGCACAGCTTCCTGAGCCTAGTGAATATCTGCACCCCCATCTGTAATGTATAACCATTCAGACAGTGTGTAGTTTGCTGTTTTTCATCACTGTTTTTGTCCTTTAGGTTAAACTATTTGTCTGAACCTGAGTGATTATCAACACTGGGGAGTGATGGACCCTTTATGTAGAATAGCTGAGCTGTATTTTTGGTGTAAATGGGGCGTTCCTCTTTATTGGGTTCTTTTTTTAAATGTATTTTTATTTTCATCCTTTCTCTTTGAATTTTTTGTCCTAACACTTTCTCCTCTGTCCACCCAATGACTAGGAGCTTCCAGACGACATCCGAGCCAACCTGACAGAGGAGCTGCCTCAGCCCAGAGAGATTCCCAGGAAACTCAGCGAATACACCCAGGAGGAGATAGACGCCTTCCCCAGGCTCTGGACACCGTATGTAGAAACACACCCATGACGTCTGCACTCAAACACAGCAGTGCCTCAGTAAATGCACACACTACATACAGAGGACATGTAGGTACTGGAGGAGGTGAATATAGTACATACTGTACTATTCTGTGCAAAGGCAGTCTCCCAGGCTCAGCAGGGACAGTGCATGAGATGGGAGGATATAGAAAGGAAGAAACCTAGTTGGAGGGAAATGTGGGACATGAAGGCAGGAAGGAGTAGATTCATTCTAGGTGCAACTTATGATGTGCTTGCCTCTCCCAAAACTCTGGAGAGGTGAGGACCCGACCTGTTCTTTGTGTTCTTGGGAAATGTTTGGCGGCTAGAACAGCAGCTGAAATGTTTGCTAGTACTAGTGACTGGTAACAGTTAGCTTGAGTAGATGGAGTGTGTGGGTGCAGGCCAAGAGGGGGTGATTCTGGGATGTCAGAACACGCTGTTGAGCCTCCTCACTATTGTGCTTATGAATGGTGTCCCATTCTTTGGCACAGTTAAGTGTATTATTGACTTCTGGATTATATGGACCACGATGCTATAGGGTCGCAACGTAATACACACAAAGTGTTTTTGTGTGTGTCTTGTATTAATGAGAAACAGCCAGAAGGAGGCGATGTTGAACTGAGTACCATCTCAGTGCTGCATGTCAGTCGCTCTTCGTGTGCCTGCCTCTGTGAGTTAGTAGTTGTCATTAAGCAGGATTAGGTGACATCCTGTGATTGTTTGGAGCATAGCAGCAGGTCAGGTGTTAACATCTCTGAAAATACTTAATGCTTTTATACTCTCACCATCCACTTTATTAGGTACACCTGTACAATTGTATGCAATTCAAAGCAACACTTCCACCTTAACGTGTGTTTAAGAAGCTCAAAATGTTTGTTTTTGGTGAAATTGTCAAATGTGTAAATTCAAATATCTTTATTATTGAGGTCATAGTTAAAAGGTAGTGACTATTTCTGTGTAAAAATTTACAAGATGTCAAAAGTGACATTATATTCAAAGGTGTTCCTAATATTCTGACCCCTCATGTATGCAGTGTGGAGGACAAAAATAGAGACAGCTCTAAATATGTCATCCAGTACACCACCACCTTTAAGTATGACCTCAATAATAAACATGTCATTGAATGTACACATTTATGACAATCCCACTAAAAACAAACATTTTCAGCTTCATAAACACACGTTAAGGTGGAAGTGTTGCATTGAATTACATACAGCTGTACAGGTCTCTAATAAAGTGGACAGTGAGTGTATATGGAGATGAAAAGAGAAGTTTTTGTATTTTGCATCAAGAAGAAATGGGCTACATGTTTAAAAATGTACAACTGACTGACATTTTCATTTGGACCTTTGTTGATTTGCCACTGTAGAGGAGAGTAGCAGAGGGTTGTGTGTCACTGACCATTATCCAGTGCAGTAAATCTTTGTTGATGACTACGGGGGTTTGTACTTCATTGCTTTGCTCTGCTCAGACCTAGTCAGCAGTGCAGAGTGCTTTGTTTGACTCTGATGCTTTCCCCTTGTGCAGGAAAAAATAAGATGCACTGTAACTGCAAATCTGCGGCTGTGGTGTGAATAATTGTCAGGCACAGGGAATAAGGACTGACTGCTGGGTGAGTGGCCACTTGATCCATCAGAACAGGCTTAAAAATTCACTGTGGGCTTTCACTTATAGGAGCTTGCATTCAGCTCTGGTACTTATTGCTCTGGTATTTAATATATGAAGTTGACTTCGTTTACTATGAATGTTGTGGTGTTTTGCTTTGTTACAGATTAGACTGAGTTTGCACATTTTGTTGCCATCAAACATCATAGTATTGAAGTGCTCTGCACAGTAAAATGCCACTTACTTATGCCAGACCTTTGAATTTAGATGCTAAAATGTCATAAACATGTGAGGAGAGTCAGCTGTTTTCCACAGTTTGTCTGTGCAGTGAGAGAGCATCTGTTATTTGGTATAATCAGATTCATGGCTTTTCTGAGTGAAGTATTTTCTAGTGGGAGATTAGATTGACATTGTGACCCACAGTTTTCTGTCTTGATAATGTCATCCTGTTGCATTTCTCTGGCCTCACCTGTAGTAAACATCACTGTGACAGGTTAAGTGAGAGCTTTCTGTCCACCACCTGCTCAGCACTAGCCTTAGCATCCATCCATTTTTCTGTCTTCCAGCTGTTTATCCAGGGCAGGGCTGCCGTTATTCATCTGCAGGAGCAGTGGCACATGTCCTCTGGTGGTCATTCTTGAGGTTGTGAGTGTTAGTGAGCTTGTAAAAAAGATCAAGTGATAAATTCAGACATTGTGCCTTGAGGCTCATCACTCAGCAGCGTCTCTGACTAAGGAACTGTAGGATCATAGATAATCCAGTCAGTACGAGTTGACTCTCCAAGCTGTTGTAAATATTTTACACAGTAATGACACTCTTAACAAGACTACAGTGAAACACAATCATGCAACTTCTGTGCCTTTCTTTACATTGTAAATAATACATTATATATACAGTTGTCAGTTACACCAAGCTAAAACTAAAGAAACAGTCCTGTAATGAATCCTGTCTTCATCAAGGTTATTGTGACCAGGTTTTGTTGAAAATGTTTGAGGATTTGGTTCCGTTACATAGTGAGGTGTTTACATAGCCTGGCCTTATGGAGTATTGTATAAGACAGTTTCAGTTATGGGTGGCTGTACTTAATAAACAGGCAGCTGAGCATATAGGGTGATGGTGTTTTTTGCACTGTGTTCAGTATTTGCAAACTGGTCTTGTCTTAGAATTAAAACCTGCAGGAGTGGAATACAGCCCACTTTGGTGAACACACTGAGTGCCAGGACATGAGGATGATAACATCTGAGTAAACCCTTAGGTCACATAGTTTTGGTTTGGTTTGTCCCCAGTACCATGGAGATTAATGGACTTTTGTTTGCAATCCTGAAAGCATGTTAAAAATAACAAAAAAAAAAAAAAAATTTTCAGCTGCTGGGTCTGGTTCCAGAAACAATGTTCTGGCTTTGTTATGTAATCCTGACCTCAGTGTCAACAGTTTCCATTGGAACTACTTCCTACTGAAGAAGTAGACCCTATGAAAGCTGTGGACAGTGTCCTTGTGGAGGGACAGGGACATTGTTTCTGGAAATATGGCTGCTGTCTATTAGTTTTAAATGTCATGTTTCAAAATACCATTCTGCACTATATTAAGGTCCAGGCTCTAAAAACTGGTAGAATAAAACCAAATCTAGATACTTGGTTACAAAAGGTAAATAATATGATAATGGATGATTTGTAATTTGGGTGGACTGACCCTTTAAACCAAAAGTCCTGACACCCTGTCACTGGGATACACCCTTACATCACATTTAAGCAAGACATAATCCTCACACTGGTCAGGAACATCTGAAGTAAAATGCTCCGTTTTCATTCACTTACTGTCCTCTGTGTTTATGTGCCTTCTACTGATGTGTACAGCTTGTCTGTATTGCATTGGGCATTACTGTCAGTGTATTGTGTGCACATAGTGATAAATGAGCCACTTCTTATTGTTTACTGGTCCAATCTCCTCAGCCAATCAGTGCGTGTACTCAGGCCTGTCGCTGCTTGGTCATCAAGGTCAAGCCAATCTCAGGTTATTTAAGAGATGAGCCTCAGCCTTGTTGCTATTCACTCACATGCCGTCTTATTCATTTTCCCGACCAAGTGTGTGTGAGTGTGTCAGAAGAGGCGTCTGAGGTCATCAAGGGCGATTCAATCGTTACCCTTTATTAAACACATGGTTAATATTCTCTCAGAAAAACCTTGGCCCAGAAGCAAAAGATTATTGGATATGTGCCCTCCCTGCTCCATCCCTTCACCCAGCAAACACACAAACAAGGGCTCAGACTTAGAAAATCGGCAGCACAAACACACTGCTGTAGTTGATAGCAGAGCCATTACACTATTATATTTTTTCCCTACTTTGTATCAGAAGCAATACAGCATGCTCTGATAATATCTGTCTGCAGCAATCTCTGCTCGAAATTAAAGGGGAAAAAACACAGAGGATGCTGTGTCTGGTCTCATTTTGGGAAGAACCAAAACGATAAGATCTGCCTTGTTTCTCATCCGTCACTTTCTCTCCATCTTTTCCGTGTAATCGCTTCTTTATCCAGACTTTTATTCCTCCCCATACTAATGTTTCATGTTTTCTCCACAGACCTGAAGACTACAAGATGAAATGAAATCGCAGCTGCCCGATGTGACCAAAAGTTGCAAAGGTTTTTTTGTTTTTTGTTTTTTACATCAATGCTACATTGAAAGCAACAGTAGTATCAATTTATATCTGTTACGATACTTGGCAAAATATTGTAAACGTGAGTGGTCAGACAGGTTTCACAGGATTTAAACACCAAAAGCTGATTTCCTCTGGTCAGATGAAACATTAGAAAACAGCCTGTAAGGCCAGTCAACAGAACTATGTCTGCTCCAATGCTGGCAGCAAGGCGTGACTGGGCTTTAAAGCTAAGTCATAATATAGTCATGTCAACACAAACTGTGCGCTGCTGTTTCTGCGGGGGTAAAAACAATAAAGCCTGTCAGTTGTGTTACCTTTGACAGGACCGCGGCAGACGTGAATAATCGAGGAACAGCTCGAGCCGTCACCATGGGGCTCGGCTCTGATCAGAGGAAATCAAATTCTGAGTCTTTTTCTGATTATAGAAGCATGAAATGATCAGATCTGGCCCATAAAAATGACATCTGTTAAAGCTGATCCTGCCTGTGGAGGTTTGTGGATGCACAGTGAATCAAATTAATGTGCTAGCATGACAACATTCAAACCATCAGTGTAGGTTCAGTAGATAATGTAGATTTTGATCAGAAAAGATTGTGGTTTTTGTCTGTCAGAAGTTTCCATACTGTTTTAAGTTGAACAATAGTAAGCAATTTAATTAACCTCTAGTAATGTCATGTACATAAATGTTGTAAAATCAAGTTAAAGTTGGATCTGTTTGTGCCCCTAAAGTTAAACAACTGGCCTAAAACACAATTTTGTACTCAGATTTATTGGTTATAAAAGCAAACAAAATAGAAAATAAATAAGTTCATTTCATACTAAAGGGCGTGGTGGTGGACACATTCCTGATTAAAACTGTTCAAGCTTGACAGTTTAAATCTCGAACAGACCGGGACCAGCTCACGGCTAAACATTTAGAGCTTGTTGTGTTTTTTTTTTCTTGACTGCAGTGCAGGAGGAGCCAAGTTTACACTTCTCATTCAATCATGATTCCTTTCACTGAGCCGCAGCTGACTGTTTAGAATAATAACTGGCTGGAGGTCTCCTTCCAGAGAGAGGTCAACCAGTGAGCAGGCCCGCCTTTGCATAAGAACAATAAACTAAACTGGGGCAGCAACACAAGACACCAACAACATAGACTTGTCCTATAAATTCACCACATGTCTGAGTATTAAAACCCAGAATAGACCTGCTCAATCTTTGAATAAAACATTACAGGACAGAATGTCATTGGCAGCCAGATTTTCTCTGGATAAAAAATGAGAATTTAAAAAAGTGATCAACTTTGTGTTGCACAAACACAAGACTGTATGGAAGAATCACTTCAAAAACATTTCATTGTTCCTCTGCAGGGGAAACATGATTCACCATTGTAAAAAACAAAAAAACAGCCTGTACAAATGGCGCCAGCTTATCGTCTGCTGATTTAAACTGTAGAATTATCGAGCTAGTTACATACAACCAAAACAAAATGCACGTGTCCAGTTACACGCTCACTGGTTGGCTCAAAAGAAACATGCAGCTTCACACAAAAATAAGGGTTTAGTCCTGAAATCAGGTGTGAGATGGGAAGAAACACGTCTTACCTTTACATTACCACTGGACAACGCGAACAAGGATCAGGCACTTTTTGGACCTCCCTCTGACAGAGATATCGTATGAGAGTCCACAGAGCTATTTACATCGTTTCACCTGGTGGAGGAAACCACTAGAGATGCAGGGAGACAGTCTCTCACCACAGTTCCAGATGGGAGACGACGGCGGTTTGTGTGTGTCACTGTCTGTTTCCAAGCACTTTGGGTGAGACCATCCTTCCTTTAAAGTCCTTCCTCCTCATTCTCTTCCATGACAAGAGCGTCTTGTGAAAAGCTTATGATGCCAGGTGACCTCAGCTCCATGTCCTCAGAGTGGGTAGGACTCGAGTGGTAACCGTGGCGACCTTGAGAAGGCTGTTGGGAGTAGTACTGAGGAGGGTAACCACGGTGGTAATAGGGACACTGCTCTTGCTCTTCCTCCTCCTCCTCCTCTTCTCCTCGGTCGTTGTAAGCCACCGCAGCAGGATTGTGCAGCTGGTTGTAGGGCTGGTAGCCACCATGGGGCAGGGGTTGGACTGGGGCGGTGGGAATATTAGGGTCAGTTGGAGAAAATGTGCCTGGATCAACGCTATTTAACATCAAACCACCACAACTGGTAAGCAAGGTTTTGAGGAAGTCTTTGGGAGTACAGCTACTATAAACGCCACCAGCACTTAAAAGCAACAAGGAGGCAGCATGGTAGAAGTTAAGATGTTCAGTTGGGGTCTGAATAGAAAAGCAACAGGAATTGGAAGCATGTACACTCTGAAATGTAACTACACACAAGTTAAAATGATTTTGTTTGTGTTATCTCAACACAAACAGTTTATCTGGGACTGCGCATGAGCCGATTTGGGGCCAAAGTCAAAAAGACTGGTTAATGGGAAATGGGTTAATGAGAAGAAAAATCAGGGTCACATCAGGGGTGGAATTTAGATTTTCTACTGACAGTACATGAGTTATACAGATAGGAGTGGTTATTTAGTAATGAAGGCAGCCAGTCAGTATCAAATCAATTAATCACTAGCTCTGAACAGATTTTAGCTTGAAGCTGGGTGAAGGCCGCAGCAGCAAAGCATTATGTGTACAAGCATTTGTTGACAATTGGCACTGATCAGCGGTGGTGATTGGTACGCTAATCCATGTGTCTCGGACTGCCAGATGATCAAACAGCCATCTTAACCAATAGGCTCAACCAAGAAATACAAATGATAGAAAAAGGAATCCAGTTTCTACTCATAGTCAGGAATCAGCACCATGAGCATAAAGTCTGAAAATGTGGTGTTAATGATTCCATTTGATTGATCCAACTGAGTGCACCAAGTTGCTAAAAAAATTATTTGTGCTGTTATGAAGTCACCCTGCTTTTCAGCATAAACTGGGTGAATAAAAGTATCCAGGCTGTTTTCAGAATTTCAAGCATGATCCTGCAAATAAACGTAGCACGGGTTTGGGAGTCATTTTGGAAAAGTCTCCAAAGAACCAACATTTTAAAACCACTGCTGCAGGGATTAGAGGTTCAACACCGGGGGTCAGGAGTAATTATCCATCCCAAGTTTCTAGTCTTATGTACAGAATGTGGATGGAGGAGGAGGAGGAGGAGGAGTACAACGGTTGCAGACAGTTCTTCAGTAATCATTCCCATAGTCCTGTTGAACTTCAGGCAAAAAAGACAGACGGAGGGAGGGGAACATAGGGAGGAGGAAAACAAGAATCCAAGAGAAGATGTTACCTTATATCAGGAGGAAAACCCAACGACACCAAAGGAATATGACCTCTCAAACCACACTGACAAAAACTTTACCAGCTGTTGAGTTGTGGTTTAGGAGGTAGAAAATTCAGTCCTGGAAATATGCTTTTCTCTTTTACAGGAAGAAAATACACTCACACACACTTTGCAGTAAATATTTAGAATCAATACTAAGTCATAAAATGTTTGGAAAGATGGGAAAATGTGCCAGATCTTAATTTCTATGAAAGCATGAATAAAGATTTCAAACAGAAAACAGGAGTGTACTATGTGTTTCTAATCCAAGTATACCGAGAAAGACTGAGGTCAGCCATTTTTTTTGCACTTGCATACCAGCCACAACGTTTCACCATATATTACTCCATTAGCTTGGAAATATCTGGCCTGGCTTGGTCCAGCACATCTAAAGCTCACTAATGCCAACACTTAAGATCTTCAAGTGATGAGTCAGCTTATCATATATGGACGGCACATTTTATGTATCTGTATGCAGTTTCAAAATAACCGTAATGTCGAATTAGCCTATCTAACTCCAATCAGCAGCTCTCAGAAAAAGGATAAGGCTTTAGTTTAGTATGTCAGACATTACTAATGTCTTTTTTTATAAGTTAAATTTATGAATTAATTAACCCTTGGATTGCGAACGGTAGCATTTTTGTGAGAAGCACTTGCAGTGACACCCTGAGACCCAGTTATTGAGCTGTGATTTTTCACATAGCTTAAAGGGCATAGAGAAACGAAAAAGCTACAGTTGGTGGGAAAGTAAGTACATTCTACTAGTAAACTGTAAACTATTTCTTTAAAAACTACAAAGTGCAATTTAGGGTCAAAATCTGGGCTACTATGAAAAAAGCATAATAGACTTGCAAGTTTCACTTTTAAGTGGTCAGAGAGGCAGTGTTTAACTCTGGCCTGGTTACAAATAACAGACAAGACTCTTCTAGGTCATAAAGTAAACATTTTGATTGGAATTTAAATATTTAAATATAAATTAATCTATTCTGACAGATGAAAAAAATCTCATCCATCAGATAATGTATCATTAGGACAATTTATCGGAAGCTTGTGTCTGCAACAGCCCAAAACAATGGACACGTACAGTAAAGCTGTGAGGTCCTCATCAGTATGAATATTCAAAGACACCCTGTGTTCAGCAGCATATTTTATTAGACCTGAATAGCTTTCTTCTCAGTTAATTTCTTAATCCATTGGTGTGGACATTAATGTGCGAACTTCACAGTGGAACAACTATAAAAGCCAGATTAGTCTCCAGTGGTCAGAGCTTTATAAGAACAATAACAATCTCAGACACGTCTCACTGTGAACACAGAAGGACAGTGTTTTATCTTTATAAAAGGCAGTTTATATGATGGAAATGCTGGGCAGGGTTGGACTGTTTATGATGTTTATAAATTAGCAAATCTAAATATAAGATGTCACTAAATTCATAAATTCTTCAATGGTTGCATGAACAAGCTCTTCAAAGTGTTACAGGATATAATCAATTCTTAGCTGCAGAAGCACAAATCAAGTCAAGAACGGTCTGAAACAGCAGAGGATGTTTTTCTAAAGTCTGGATATTTCGTGTTTTGACTGTTCAGGGAAAGATTCCAGTCAAAATGTTATTTCTGTTTCAGATGCCAAAACCTATGCTTTTGTGTTCACTTGTCTACAGTAGTGGTTCCCAAACTAGGAGCTGAAAAATATTCAAAAATCAATATACTGCCATTTCCTCCTGGTTTGGAAATCACTGGCTCCAAACTGATTTGACTAAAGGCACTTAACTGCACTCAGTGCAGCAACTGAAACAAGCCATGGTTTACAACACACTATAATGTGGCTGTAAGCAGATGTGTTTATTTTCTCAATAGCTATATGTCCTCCTGTGAACAACCATATAATGAACGACTATAGTGACACACAGTTATAATCCTAGAGAGTACCCAGAGAGCGCAAACCTATGCCAATGCAGCTCAGCTCCTCCATAATGCCATTATATCTAAAAACAATATTCCCATGATAGTTTGACCGTCATAAGATGAGCTGTCTGTTAGACCAGGTGCAGGACATAGCTAGTACACACACCAGGTGCAGTTCAGAGAGGCCACAGTGGGGCGGACAGGAAGCCTGTGCTTTGACTGCATTCACATAAAATTGTTTCTGCAGGGTTGTGCAGAGGTGTGGCCGTGTGTATTTGTGCTTCACAACGCGACCGCCCTGAAACAATCATAAATTAATGTTGTATTTCTCTGATTGACTGCTTTGTTTTGCTAGCACCGCTCCCTCTCTTCATTCACACACTAGCTCGCTTGACCACCGCTGCTTTCTTGGTGGAGCAGATTTAGAACACAGGTGGTGACATTTGGGCACAAAGATAAAGAAAATGGCTGTTAGATTCATTCCAAGCAATGAGCCGTTGAACAGAGAAAATTAACAGGCCTGTGCTGCAGTTTTATTAGTCTCCTGGGTTATCTTCCATGGTGGAGGGGTTTTTGCCCTCCAAAACATGATGTTGGGGGACAAGTTGTAACTGTTCACAAGTACTGTACAGTTTAAAATGTCCTTATAGCTGCCTACAACTACATTATACTGTGTTAGAACCTACTGTATTTATTAAATGTCTGTGTAAATCCTGTATAATGGTGGGTGATGATATTTACCTCCAATGTTGTATCCCAGACAAGAGCTCTGGTCACAGTATCCTGGTGGGCCAGCTGGTCCTGTGGTACCCGGACTCCCCGGCCTCCCTGCTGTCCCAGGACTACCGGGCCGACCCGGTGGGCCCTGGCTGCCTGTTCGTCCTTCACCTGGCAGCCCTGATGATGGACAAAAGGTTTGTGTTAAAAGATGGGCGAGTACACAGAGTCAGTCATCAATAGACATTCAGTGGCAGTGTGACACCCGATGAGAAGGAATGAAAAAGAAAAAACTGAAAAGGTGTCATCTCATAACCATCATCTCCTCAACCTCTCTGAGATCCCTCTCTCTGTCACTGTAACAACAGGAGATGAAAATTAGGGGCAGTGACTGACTGCTTCCCTGTTATTTCCAGATCAGGGAGATAATAGTGACTGTCCTGAGGGCAGAAGCAGGAATAACACAGCTCTATGCTGAAATTTAGCCAGAGGCTTCTGTTTTCTGTTTACACTGGAGAAACTGCTCCATCAGGACTCACTTCAGCAGAAATATGAAATCAATATTATGAGGAGAGTTTCATTTGCCAAGTGCTAAAATGATCATCCCACAAATATTAAAAAAAAAAAAAAAAAAGCACAGTGAGTTAAGACAGACAGCTATCCACTCTAACTTTCTCTGAGAAAAATTTCCTTTTTCGTACATTGAAGTTTGTGGGATTTTTTTTTTAAGTCATCTGATCACAGAAAACTTTCCAAGGACTTTTGTCCGTTTCTTCTGCAATTATTGATCGCACAACAGTAAACAAAAAATCCCAGCACGGACATATTTTCATAACCCAAACCTCAAACTCCGCACCAGCTCGCAGGGAAATCAATATAGAAAATTATATTCATAGTCCAAAATGTCTGCTTGCCTTTCTCAGACAGAAATAGTTTGGGTTTTGTTTGGCAGGAACACAAAGAACACATACAACAGCTCCAGTTCGGTCGCAGGCTGAAAACTTCAAAAGCAAAAATGTCCAGAACACATCACTGCTAAATGGTCATACTGGGAAGAAGCTGCAGCACCCCCAAATGTTGTCTGAGCACTGAGACTGGCTAAAGTGGATTCAGTTGGATGTGCTCATCGAGTGCTCCCAGGACTGTTTGTGTGTGTTTGCCTGCATCTTACCTGGAGGTCCAGGTGGTCCTCGAGGTCCCTGAATCCCAACCCCTGGACTCCCCCTCTCCCCCTTCTCTCCTGGCAGACCTGGAAATCACACAATTCAAAGAGATTTACATTTAGGTGGATGTCACTTCTCACTTTTGCCATTTCTGGTGCACACACATCTCCTGGAGGGTTCACTACAGGCCTGCCAGGGTGGTGGACTGTAGCCGAGTACATTTACTCCAGTAGTGCACTTACAAGTAAAACCAATTTGGAGGTACATGATTATTTCTTGTTCATGCTACTTTATACTTCTCCAATACATTAATGACAGCTGTGGCTAATAGTTAGTTTTCAGTTTACATAACATGCACAAGCTCATCAAATAAAGTGCATTTTAAAAATTTTAAACTGGTGTTCCTGTTCTTGTTTGTGACTTGTTCAGATTTTCCAGTATTCCACAAAAAGCTAAGATATGAGAAAAGTCCAGAATATGAACACAAATCTGATTTATCTTGCGACTCTTGTGGCCTGACCTGCGGGTTGGGAACCACTGGACTAAACATTTTTACTGTATGTCAAGTAATTAAAAAATATAGCTGCACCTGATCAAGTACAAAAGTAAAAAGCTACTTCTCAACTGAAACATTAATATCAATATGTCAAAGGGACAGTTTTTCTCCAGAATAAGTACTTGTACTTTTTACAACTTTTGAGTTTAAATACAAGTCTTCTCTATTTTACACTGTCGTATAGGTACTTTAAGTATAGCATCCGAGTAGTTCCCTCGCCACTATACTCTGCTAACACTGGTACTACATTGTAAATATTTGTTGAAAATGTGCTGGATGAATGAAGCCTGGATGGTCAGTCTAATAAAGAGTATGATAAACCCAGAGCTGGCTTTGTGCTGTTGTGCAGTCGCGCAGCTGTTTGGATGACCTAATGGAATAGTTTACATACAGTCTAGTATTAGAGAACCACATAAAACTGTCATCTGCAGATTTTCTGTCCTGCGGCTTTATAATTGTCTTAATCAGCCGCATCGGTGAAGAGGAAGCAAGCACCATTAGACATTTTACATGACCTTGAATGAAAAAAAAATTCATTCTCTACGTTCTCTCGTACAAAGGCCTACTAGCTGACATCATAGTCCCTCTCTGCGGAGGACAACGCTGTATATGGACTCTAGTTTGTCAGCTTTACAGAAGAAATGACTGGTTTCTTATGTCGAGCTTGAACAGTCTTGTTCCTGAATCTTGTATCAGCCCAAGATCCAATATCTGAGATAACAGCGTGTCTAATTTTCTTAAATAGGCAAATC